TATTGGGGTTATCGTTGGGGGATCTTCAAGAAGGCTTCATGTATTGGGGTTATCGCTTGGGGATCTTCAGGAAGGCTCCATGTATTGGGGTTATTGTTGGGGGATCTTCAGGAAGGCTTCATGTATTGGGGTTATCGCTGGGAGATCTTCAGGAAGGCTCCATGTATTGGGGTTATCGTTGATGGATCTTCGGAAGACTTCATGTATTGGGGTTATCGTTGGGGATCTTCGGAAGGCTCCATGTATTGGGGCTATCGTTGGGAGATCTTTAGGAAGGCTTCATGTATTGGGGTTATGGCTGGGAGATCTTCAGGAAGTCTTCATGTATTGGGGTTATCACTTGGGGATCTTCAGGAAGTCTTCATGTATTGGGGTTATCGTTGTGGGTTCTTTTGGGGTTATCGGAAGGCTCCATGTATTGGGGCTATTGGGGTTATCGTTGGGGTTATCTTGGGAGATCTTCGGAAGGCTTCATGTATTGGGGTTATCGTTTGGTGATCTTCAGGAAGACTTCATGTATTGGGGTTATCGTTGGGGATCTTCGGAAGGCTCCATGTATTGGGGCTATCGTTGGGAGATCTTTAGGAAGAGATCTTTAGGAAGGCATGTATTGGGGTTATCGTCTTCGGGGCTCCATGTATTGGGGCTATCGGGGAGATCTTTAGGCTCCATGTATTGGGGTTATCGTTGGGGATCTTCGGAAGGCTCCATGTATTGGGGCTATCGTTGGGAGATCTTTAGGAAGGCTTCATGTATTGGGGTTATCGCTGGGAGATCTTCAGGAAGGCTTCATGTATTGGGGTTATCGCTTGGGGATCTATCTTCATTGTATTGGGGTAATCGATCTTCAGGAAGGCTTGTATTGGGGTTATCGTTGGGGATCTTCGGAAGGCTCCATGTATTGGGGTTATCGTTGGGAGATCTTTAGGAAGGCTCCATGTATTGGGGTTATCGCTGGGATCTTCAGATCTTCATGTATTGGGGTTATCGTTGGGGGAAGGCTTCATGTATTGGGGTTATCGTTGGGGATCTTCGGAAGGCTCCATGTATTGGGGATATCGTTGGGAGATCTTTAGGAAGGCTTCATGTATTGGGGTTATCGCTGGGAGATCTTCAGGAAGGCTTCATGTATTGGGGTTATCGCTTGGGGATCTTCAGGAAGTCTTCATGTATTGGGGTTATCGTTGGGGATCTTCGGAAGGCTCCATGTATTGGGGCTATCGTTGGGAGATCTTTAGGAAGGCTTCATGTATTGGGGTTATCGCTGGGAGATCTTCAGGAAGGCTTCATGTATTGGGGTTATCGCTGGGAGATCTTCAGGAAGGCTCCATGTATTGGGGTTATCGTTGGGGATCTTCGGAAGGCTCCATGTATTGGGGCTATCGTTGGGAGATCTTTAGGAAGACTCCATGTATTGGGGTTATCGTTGGGAGATCTTTAGGAAGGCTTCATGTATTGGGGTTATCGCTGGGAGATCTTCAGGAAGGCTTCATGTATTGGGGTTATCGTTGGGGATCTTCGGAAGGCTCCATGTATTGGGGTTATCGTTGGGGATCTTCGGAAGGCTTCATGTATTGGGGGTTATCGTTGGGATCTTCCATGTATTGGATCTCATGTATTGGGGTTATCGCTGGGAGATCTTCAGGAAGGCTTCATGTATTGGGGTTATCGCTTGGGGATCTTCAGGAAGTCTTCATGTATTGGGGTTATCGTTGGGAGATCTTTAGGAAGACTCCATGTATTGGGGTTATCGTTGGGGATCTTTAGGAAGACTCCATGTATTGGGGTTATCGTTGGGGATCTTCGGAAGGCTCCATGTATTGGGGTTATCGTTCTTCGGATCGTATTGGGGATCTTGGGAGATCTTTAGGAAGGCTCCATGTATTGGGGTTATCGTTGGGGATCTTCGGAAGGCTTCATGTATTGGGGCTATCGTTGGGAGATCTTTAGGGGGCTTCATGTATTGGGGTTATCGCTATCGGGGAGATCTTCAGCTTCATGTATTGGGGTTATCGTTGGGAGATCTTCAGGAAGGCTTCATGTATTGGGGTTATCGTTGGGAGATCTTTAGGAAGGCTTCATGTATTGGGGTTATCGCTCTTCATGTATTGGGGTTATCGTTGGGAGATCTTCGTTGAAGGCTTCATGTATTGGGGTTATCGCTGGGAGATCTTCAGGAAGGCTCTGTATTGGGGTTATCGTTGGGGATCTTCAGAAGGCTTGGAAGGCTTCATGTATTGGGGTTATCGCTTGGGGATCTTCAGGAAGTCTTCATGTATTGGGGTTATCGTTGGGAGATCTTTAGGAAGACTCCATGTATTGGGGTTATCGTTGGGGATCTTCGGAAGGCTCCATGTATTGGGGCTATCGTTGGGAGATCTTTAGGAAGGCTTCATGTATTGGGGTTATCGCTGGGAGATCTTCAGGAAGGCTTCATGTATTGGGGTTATCGCTTGGGGATCTTCAGGAAGTCTTCATGTATTGGGGTTATCGTTGGGGATCTTAAAGGCTGTATTGGGGCTATCGTTGGGAGATCTTTAGGAAGACTCCATGTATTGGGGTTATCGTAGGGGATCTTCGGAAGGCTCCATGGATTGGGGCTATAGTTGGGAGATCTTTAGGAAGGCTCCATGTATTGGGGTTATCGTTGGGGATCTTCGGAAGGCTCCATGTATTGGGGCTATCGTTGGGAGATCTTTAGGAAGACTCCATGTATTGGGGTTATCGTTGGGGATCTTCGGAAGGCTCCATGTATTGGGGCTATCGTTGGGAGATCTTTAGGAAGGCTTCATGTATTGGGGTTATCGCTGGGAGATCTTCAGGAAGGCTTCATGTATTGGGGTTATCGCTTGGGGATCTTCAGGAAGTCTTCATGTATTGGGGTTATCGTTGGGGATCTTCGGAAGGCTCCATGTATTGGGGTTATCGCTTGGGGATCTTCAGGAAGGATCTTCGGTATTGGGGTAAGGCTCCATGTATTGGGGCTATCGTTGGGAGATCTTTAGGAAGGCTTCATGTATTGGGGTTATCGCTGGGAGATTTTCAGGAAGGCTTCATGTATTGGGGTTATCGCTTGGGGATCTTCAGGAAGTCTTCATGTATTGGGGTTATCGTTGGGGATCTTCGGAAGGCTCCATGTATTGGGGCTATCGTTGGGAGATCTTTAGGAAGACTCCATGTATTGGGGTTATCGTCGGGGATCTTCGGAAGGCTCCATGTATTGGGGCTATCGTTGGGAGATCTTTAGGAAGACTCCATGTATTGGGGTTATCGTTGGGGATCTTCGGAAGGCTCCATGTATTGGGGCTATCGTTGGGAGATCTTTAGGAAGGCTTCATGTATTGGGGTTATCGCTGGGAGATCTTCAGGAAGGCTTCATGTATTGGGGTTATCGCTTGGGGATCTTCAGGAAGTCTTCATGTATTGGGGTTATCGTTGTGGGTTCTTTAGGAAGGCTCCGTGTATTGGGGTTATCGTTGGGGATCTTCGGAAGGCTCCATGTATTGGGGCTATCGTTGGGAGATGTTTAGGAAGGCTTCATGTATTGGGGTTATCGCTGAGAGATCTTCAGGAAGGCTTCATGTATTGGGGTTATCGCTTGGGGATCTTCAGGAAGTCTTCATGTATTGGGGTAATCGCTGGGGATCTTCGAAAGGCTCCATGTATTGGGGTTATCGTTGGGGATCTTCGGAAGGCTCCATGTATTGGGGCTATCGTTGGGAGATCTTTAGGAAGGCTTCATGTATTGGGGTTATCGCTGGGAGATTTTCAGGAAGGCTTCATGTATTGGGGTTATCACTTGGGGATCTTCAGGAAGTCTTCATGTATTGGGGTTATCGTTGGGGATCTTCGGAAGGCTCCATGTATTGGGGCTATCGTTGGGAGATCTTTAGGAAGACTCCATGTATTGGGGTTATCGTCGGGGATCTTCGGAAGGCTCCATGTATTGGGGCTATCGTTGGGAGATCTTTAGGAAGACTCCATGTATTGGGGTTATCGCTGGGAGATCTTCAGGAAGGCTTCATGTATTGGGGTTATCGCTTGGGGATCTTCAGGAAGTCTTCATGTATTGGGGTAATCGCTGGGAATCTTCGAAAGGCTCCATGTATTGGGGTTATCGTTGGGGGATCTTCGGAAGGCTTCATGTATGGGGGTTATCGTTGGGAAATCTTCAGGAAGGCTCCATGTATTGGGGTTATCGTTGGGAGATCTTTATGAAGGCTTTATGTATTGGGGTTATCGCTGGGGGATCTTCAGGAAGTTCTCCGTGTATTGGGGTTATCGTTGGGGGATCTTCAGGAAGGCTCCATATATCTATCATCAATAACTGACATTAATATCTATCAATATATATCACATCTATCAGCAATATATATCATCGAGAGAGAAAAAGAAAACGTACTGATTCTAGCTATAGACAGCAAGTACTGTTGATGTAAGCCTTGTATACGTACGTGTATATCGTCAGAAAAGTGATGTTTTACCAATTCTCGATTCGTCTGCTCATCTATCAGAACAAATTCGAATTTAAAATTATGTATGTTTTGCCAATATGAAAAACTTAATCAAGATAATTTATATAAAAGTTTGTAGAAGACATTAAACGTTTGTTATATTACGTCTTCTATTAGTAACTAGATCTAGTGTATAGTTACGTGGTCAGCTGTGTCCACTTGTGCTTACAATGTGCATATCTCTACGAGAAGATTGTTATTACACAGACGTAACTGTCATTGATGTACGATACCTTCCACGGACTTGGGTCTCTCCAGGTAATCCGTAGTCTATCCTTTTCACCAAGCTTGACGAATAAATGTGTGTTTTGAGTGTGTGTAAGTGGAGGGGGAGTGGTGAGTTCAATGAGCATGTATCCTTAATTGTTTGTTATTTTTTTTCAATGTCATGTGTTCGATACCTTAAAAATATTTCAATTTGTCCGCGTCCTTAAACTGTTTGTCAAATATATATAACTACGATAAGCGTTTGTTCGACAGTGTTTAGTATTAAACATGACGGAAAAAAGTAAAGACCCCAGATCGTTCGATCTAAAGCAGTATTCATTCCCGACAGAACAGATTCCTAGATTAAGCATTAACGATCCAGAAGCAGATAGAAGAATTTCCAAAGCGGTAAGATATATTAGAACAACTGTCATTAGATGTATACAAAATGTGCTAGCTTGTTCAGCAGTGTGGTGTACGTGACGACAGACATGCTTTGTAATGTGAAGATAACTGACCATTGTTTAAATCATTGCGATGGATCTCTATCGTAATATGAATTTAAATCCTACCTTCTAGATTCATAAAAAAGACATCCCTTCTACACTTGACATCCTAACCAATATAGATACCATGGCCTGGGTCAGGAATGTGTACACTGGATGTTGTGACTACTTGTATATTCACTTTAGTATCGTCTACACATCGGCTCCTCATCGCTATGTGTTTCGGAGCGGCCTTTTTGTCGAGCTGTAGCACGTGAACTGTTTATCTGTATTACCTTGATTTTGGTTGCTGTAACACTTGTGGGTATAAAAAGCTGGTTAAATCAAACATGATTATGCATTTCATCACAGTCTTGGATATACATTGTAGGTATCAAAGTCTGAGGTTCCATTGAACATTCTTCTTTATGAACATTTTTACATATTTAACACTTTCCCAGGTATGATGAAATAATCCATCAATCTGTCAAGTGAATAATAATCACCACGAATAGTAAGTATTGCCTCCATGCAAATTTGTTAGCTCACCATCATCATGTTGGTCTCCAGATGTGCATTACCCATTTTTGAACCTATCGTAAAAACAAGATGTCTGACACGGTGTTAATCTCAGTTTTTGACATTCATAGTTAGTTATTGCCATAATTCTTGAGAAGCACTGGGTGAATCATTCTCATATTTCAGATACAGGTTTCCATGATGTACATTACAAAGTCTGGGGATTGATAAAAAATGCTAACATGTGCCCACCTTGGATTTGGCATTTAAAAAATCATCACTATTCCTTAGGATAATTTTTGAATTCTTGGTTTGATGTCTTTTTAGAGGGAAAATTTTTTTAATGATTTATTCCAATAAAAAAGATTAATTTGTTCAAGAATTACGAAGAACTTTCATTTCAGTTGATAAATGAATTGATCAAAAAAATAATTCTTATGGATACTCTCTTTAATGTCTTTCCTGTTGGTTTCAGCTTCCTGTGGTGTTAACTGATACTAATCTGGTGACCTCTGCTTTACACTGGGACTTGGACTACCTATCAAAAAACATTGGTGATGGAGAATTTGTTGTGCACATCTCAAAAAACAAAAATTTCCAATATTGTGATGATAAAAAATCTGTTAATGTTAAAGATTTTAGAATGCCAACTGAAAAACAAGATATGAAATTTTCAGAATTCGTGGAAAAACTGCATAGTGCCAAACCAGGAGAGGACAGGTAAGCACTTATAAAGTGTATTTGTTGTTCATGAATATTTTCAAACCACTTTTATTTTTAGAGTATTTACATTACTGTATTTATCAGAAAATAAGACCATGCCTAATGTTAGATAAGGCCAATCATATACATTACCGTTTTTTTAAAAATGCTAAGCCAGTACTGTTAAATTGTCGTGTAATAAGCCCTCCACCTGAATATAAGTTAGGATGATGTGTTGAACCCATAAGCTTATTACAGGATGAATACAGTATATAACGATGTGTCCATTTGGAAGAGAGTTCACTCCTGCTTTTTAGTGTCATGCTTACCTTCTGAATGTACTTTTCACTGATAACCATGTAGAAGATATCAAGGGAGATTACTGATTGTAGTCATTCATTTATATAAGGGATATGCTGGGTTTTCCATAAGAGCCGGTCACCGGCCAATTTGACCAGCTACTTTGATCATTTGGCGGCCTACACCAATCCAGTTTCGTAATAATGTTCCGTACACGACTACACATACACAGCAGGCCAACCTCCTACTTTCATTACACAGCCTACTACTAACAAAATTATGGAAAACCCTGGATATGATATGGTTGATATTGTGGAATTTGGACATTTTTCTACACTTAAGAATTGAAAAATTGGAGAATTCTTAGTAAAATCACACCAAAATTGAATCATTTACTTCAGAAGTAGTCGAAGTTTTGAGACTTTATCAGATCCTTTAATTTTTATGGGATCAGAATCAACTAACTGATTACTCAGTTATATTCTCAATTTGATGAGATCAAGTGAAACAGTGTAACATCCTTATTAATGTTGTGTTGGCTTTTTTTAGACTTTTAACTAAAAAGAAGTTAGGCTAAAGTTTTCTAAAATTCAAATCAAAGTCAAGTTTTATTTCAGTGTATTCTGAAATTGGATTAAAAGGGAATTTTTTTTAAAAATTGTGATGAAAGAGAAGTTTGAATATTGTGTTTTAGAGTTGTGATGAAGTAGTTTTGTGTTTACAGACTATACCTTCAACAGATCTTACATGATACAGTGGGAAAAAGAGTCATCAGTGATTTCCTTGGCTTCAATTGGCATTGGGTGACCAGGCAACAAAAAACTAATAATTTTGGAGAAATGACGTCCAATCTTCTTTTGATTGGAATGGAAGGTAAGTGGTTAGTTATTTTCTTAACAAGAATACATGTCACAAAACAAAGTGGAATTATTGATTTAGTTTGCCATTATTCGAGTTTTTCAAATTGACAATAGGCTCAATGGTAGATAGAGGTTAACATAGTCATGGTCATAGGCAAACAGATAACAGTTGGTGTACAGACCCCAACTCCAGTGAAAATAACAAGTCTGATACTGTCAACATGTACATCAAAAGAAAATACTTTGATATTTAAAGTCAATTCTCAAATCTAGATGTAGAAAACTACATCGTGACATTGATTTATTCCCCTTTGGATAGAAAACATTAAAAAGATTTATTTGCACCTGGTATTCTGAAACAGACAAAGCTGACATTCTTTCAATGACAGCATTTGAAAAGGAAGTGAAATATTTCAAAGATGTTTCATGCTCTTCTTTAATTATGATTTAATAATTGCACATCTTAAATAATTTTACTAATAGTTTACATAGATTTGTAGATCTGGATTTAATCCTGTTTATGACATAGATCTGTAGGTCTATGTGTAATACTCTATGTTATATAGATCTGTAGGTCTATGTGTAATACTCTATGTTATATAATGCTGTAGGTTTTGGTGTAATCCTGTATGTGGAGGTGCAATACTGTATATTATATAGACCTGTAGGTCTAGGTGTAATCCTATATGTTATATAGAGCTATAGGTCTAGGTGTAATCCTATATGTTATATAGAGCTATAGGTCTAGGTGTAATCCTATATGTTATATAGAGCTATAGGTCTAGGTGTAATCCTATATGTTATATAGAGCTATAGGTCTAGGTGTAATCCTATATGTTATATAGAGCTATAGGTCTAGGTGTAATCCTGTATGTGGAGGTGTAATACTGTATATTATATAGACCTGTATGTGGAGGTGTAATACTGTATATTATATAGACCTGTATGTGGAGGTGTAATACTGTATATTATATAGACCTGTATGTGGAGGTGTAATGCTGTATATTATATAGACCTGTATGTGGAGGTGTAATACTGTATATTATATAGACCTGTATGTGGAGGTTTAATACTGTATATTATATAGACCTGTATGTGGAGGTGTAATACTGTATATTATATAGACCTGTATGTGGAGGTGTAATACTGTATATTATATAGACCTGTATGTGGAGGTGTAATACTGTATATTATATAGACCTGTATGTGGAGGTGTAATACTGTATATTATATAGACTTGTAGGTCTAGGTGTAATCCTATATGTTATATAGAGCTATAGGTCTAGGTGTAATCCTGTATGTGGAGGTGTAATACTGTATATTATATAGACTTGTAGGTCTAGGTGTAATCCTATATGTTATATAGAGCTATAGGTCTAGGTGTAATCCTGTATGTGGAGGTGTAATACTGTATATTATATAGACCTGTATGTGGAGGTGTAATACTGTATATTATATAGACCTGTATGTGGAGGTGTAATACTGTATATTATATAGACTTGTAGGTCTAGGTGTAATCCTGTATGTGGAGGTGTAATACTGTATATTATATAGACTTGTAGGTCTAGGTGTAATCCTATATGTTATATAGAGCTATAGGTCTAGGTGTAATCCTGTATGTGGAGGTGTAATACTGTATATTATATAGACTTGTAGGTCTAGGTGTAATCCTATATGTTATATAGAGCTATAGGTCTAGGTGTAATCCTGTATGTGGAGGTGTAATACTGTATATTATATAGACCTGTATGTGGAGGTGTAATACTGTATATTATATAGACCTGTATGTGGAGGTGTAATACTGTATATTATATAGACCTGTATGTGGAGGTGTAATACTGTATATTATATAGACCTGTATGTGGAGGTGTAATACTGTATATTATATAGACTTGTAGGTCTAGGTGTAATCCTATATGTTATATAGAGCTATAGGTCTAGGTGTAATCCTGTATGTGGAGGTGTAATACTGTATATTATATAGACTTGTAGGTCTAGGTGTAATCCTATATGTTATATAGAGCTATAGGTCTAGGTGTAATCCTGTATGTGGAGGTGTAATACTGTATATTATATAGACCTGTATGTGGAGGTGTAATACTGTATATTATATAGACTTGTAGGTCTAGGTGTAATCCTATATGTTATATAGAGCTATAGGTCTAGGTGTAATCCTATATGTTATATAGAGCTATAGGTCTAGGTGTAATCCTATATGTTATATAGACCTGTAGGTCTAGGTGTAATACTGTATATTATATAGACCTGTATGTGGAGGTGTAATACTGTATATTATATAGACCTGTATGTGGAGGTGTAATACTGTATATTATATAGACTTGTAGGTCTAGGTGTAATCCTATATGTTATATAGAGCTATAGGTCTAGGTGTAATCCTGTATGTGGAGGTGTAATACTGTATATTATATAGACCTGTAGGTCTAGGTGTAATCTTATATGTTATATAGAGCTATAGGTCTAGGTGTAATCCTATATGTTATATAGAGCTATAGGTCTAGGTGTAATCCTATATGTTATATAGACCTGTAGGTCTAGGTGTAATCCTGTATGTGGAGGTGTAATACTGTATATTATATAGACCTGTAGGTCTAGGTGTAATCCTATATGTTATATAGAGCTATAGGTCTAGGTGTAATCCTATATGTTATATAGAGCTATAGGTCTAGGTGTAATCCTATATGTTATATAGAGCTATAGGTCTAGGTGTAATCCTATATGTTATATAGAGCTATAGGTCTAGGTGTAATCCTATATGTTATATAGAGCTATAGGTCTAGGTGTAATCCTATATGTTATATAGAGCTATAGGTCTAGGTGTAATCCTATATGTTATATAGAGCTATAGGTCTAGGTGTAATCCTATATGTTATATAGAGCTATAGGTCTAGGTGTAATCCTATATGAAGTATAAATCTGTAGGTTTAGGTTTGATCTTGTGTATGACATGTTATCCATGTTGGGCCTGTTTTTTTTTAAATAGACTAGAGCTAAGATATTTATTTCATTAGCACATTAATGCACAACTGAATTTGATGTCGAAAGTTTTGTTTATTTCAGGAAATGTCACACCAGGACATTATGATGAACAAGAAAATTTTTTTTCACAAGTTCGAGGCTACAAAAGATTTGTTCTCTTCCCACCATCTCAGTTTGCCTGCATGTATCCATACCCTATATATCATCCATGTGACCGACAAAGTCAGGTATGTCATACATTTACTACACACACACACGACAAAGTCAGTTATGTCATACATCTTCTACACAACTACACACACACAACAAAGTCAGTTATGTCATTCATCTACTACACACACACGACAAAGTCAGGTATGTCATACATCTACTACACACACACGACAAAGTCAGGTATGTCATTCATCTACTACACACACACGACAAAGTCAGGTATGTCATACATCTACTACCCACACACGACAAAGTCAGGTATGTCATACATCTCCTACACACACACGACAAAGTCAGTTATGTCATACATCTACTAAACAACTACACACACACGACAAAGTCAGGTATGTCATACATCTTCTACACACGCACGACAAAGTCAGGTATGTCATTCATCTACTACACAACTACACACACACGACAAAGTCAGGTATGTCATACATCTACTACACACACTCAGAGCTACCATACACAAATGCATGCACACACACACACACACACACCACACACCTATCACACATACATACACCTACCACACATACATACAGTTACCACACATACATACACCTTCCACACATACATACAGCTTCCACACATACATACACCTTCCACACATACATACAGCTTCCACACATACATACACCTACCACACATACATACAGCTTCCACACATACATACACCTACCACACATACATGCAGTTACCACACATACCTACACCTACCACACATACATACAGCTACCTAGCCGCAACTCACACACAGCTTCACATAAATATGCCCATTAAAAAATGAATTTGTTTATGATATTTACTGTTGATATTTTTTAACTTACTGTAACTTTATGCCCGACTTAATCAGACTATATGGATTAATATCAATGTTCTGTTACAGTTTTTTTACTCTATTTATAGATTTGTAATTGTTTTTCTTTACAGGAAGTAACTTTTCTGATTTGTTTTGTAGGTTGACTTTGACAATCCAGACTTCACACAATTTCCAAAATTCAAAGAAGCTTGTGGTATGGAAGCTGTGGTTGGGCCAGGAGATGTCTTATATATTCCCATGTACTGGTCAGTACAACATATTCAGTATCCCCATTACGGGTCAGCACGACTTACTACTGAGATTATTCAGTGTTCTGTTGAGAAACCAGGTTCTGTTGTGATGTATTCTATAACAGTAATTTTTCTGTTTACACAGAATAATAACTTGTATTCATAAGTGTGATAAATACATGATGTATGTACTGTTTACACAGAATAATAACTTGTATTCATAAGTGTGATAAATATATGATGTATGAACTGTCTACACAGAATAATAACTTGTATTCATAAGTGTGATAAATATATGATGTATGTACTGTTTACACAGAATAATAACTTGTATTCATAAGTGTGATAAATATATGATGTATGTACTGTTTACACAGAATAATAACTTGTATTCATAAGTGTGATAAATATATGATGTATGAACCGTCTACACAGAATAATAACTTGTATTCCTAAGTGTGATAAATATATGATTTGTGATTCATATACCGTGTTAATATCCAACAGGTGGCACCATGTTCAGTCTCTACCATCACATGGCTACACCATCTCTGTCACATTTTGGTACAAGGTAAGTGTAATCTAGTGCTATACTGCCTCTGACTGTTTACTGAAACATCAAACATTCAGTGTCTATTATAACATTTTGTCAGAAAACAATAGTAAACGATTACAAAAGTGAAAATGCTTGAGTAAGAGTTTTTAATTGGAAGCTTGTATAGAGATTCAATTAAAGAGTTATTCCCCTTGTTCCTGACATCAGCGTAAAGGGTCATTATTACTGTGTGTTTGTTACCTAAAGCTCATAATCAGGGTACTTAGACCTGTGCCAAATGTTTATTGTTAAAGACCGTTGTATTGTTTAATAAATTGAAATGAAAGCTGGTCAGATAACAAAAGGACCACCAGTGATACAGGATATTTAGGCCTTTTTGATATAAAGGAATCAAATTGTTTGATTTCGAAATGTTTTCCCATGCATTTGATTTTAGACAAGCATTGTAATACTTGAAATTATACTATTCACAGAGTTGTAGCACTTTTTGGTGAATATTTGTAAACATTATCAGCTTCAAACTAACACTGGGCAACACTCGCTGTTGTGTCTACTGCAATTTGGTGTTTTGATCAGAGATAGCCGAGTTCATTACATGACCTTTCAGAACCTCATTTTAACACACTTCTTTGTTATGATTTCTAAATTTTACCACATTGCGCATGCACAGACATATTTTATACTCTCCGAACGATAATGATATAATTAATGTTGGGTTGCTCCCATTTGTTTTTTAATTTTTTTTTTGACGTTTTTTAATAAAATGGTTATGCTAACTTTTGAATATTGAAATTAACAGAAAGTGCACAACTTTTAACAGATACTTAAATGTTATAATGCTTTTTATCAGCTGCGAAATAAAAATCAAACCATTTAGTTCCTTTAAGTTTGTATCAATGTCTGTTAAAAATTTTAATGATAATTTAAAAAACAAACTAGGAAATTATGAAAAACTTATGAGATATGAATGTTGATTCAATATTCTCTGGTGACTGATATTTTGAAGGATGTGACCTGGATTGAATTTTGCTTTTATGAAATAAATTTACCAGGCAGGACAAGCGGAGAAGATTGAGTATCCATTGAAGCCCCAACAGAAGGTGGCTATGATGAGAAATATAGAGAAGATGATACACCAAGCATTAAACAATCCTTCAGAGGTAAGTCATTTCATCATCTCATGTGTTACAGTGACCTTGTGTACTAGTGGCACCAGTTACTAACCATTCTGTATCAGTGACACTAGTTACTACACCATAGTGTACCAGTGTCACTAGTTACTACACCATAGTGTACCAGTGTCACTAGTTACTACACCATAGTGTACCAGTGACACTAGTTACTACACCATAGTGTACCAGTGTCACTAGTAACTACACCATAGTGTATCAGTGACACTAGTTACTACACCATAGTGTACCAGTGACACTAGTTACTACACCATAGTGTACCAGTGACACTAGTTACTACACCATAGTGTACCAGTGAGTGTACCATTGTCACTAGTTACTACACCATAGTGTACCAATGTCACTAGTTACTACACCATAGTGTACCAGTGACACTAGTTACTACACCTTAGTGTACCAGTGACACTAGTTACTACACCATAGTGTACCAGTGACACTAGTTACTACACCATAGTGTACCAATGTCACTAGTTACTACACCATAGTGTACCAGTGACACTAGTTACTACACCTTAGTGTACCAGTGACACTAGTTACTACACAATAGTGTACCAGTGACACTAGTTATTACACCATTGTGTACTAGTGACACTAGTTATTACACCATTGTGTACCAGTGTTACTGGTTACTACACCATTGTGTACCAAGTTACTAGTTACCACACCATAGTGTACCAGTGTCACTAGTTACTACACCATAGTGTACCAGTGACACTAGTTACTACACCATAGTGTACCAGTGACACTAGTTACTACACCATTGTGTACCAGTGACACTAGTTACTAAACCATTGTGTACCAGTGACACTAGGTACTACACCATTGTGTACCAGTGTTACTAGTTACTACACCATAGTGTACCAGTGACACTAGTTACTACACCATAGTGTACCAGTGACACTAGTTACTACACCATTGTGTACCAGTGACACTAGTTACTAAACCATTGTGTACCAGTGACACTAGTTACTACACCAATGTGTACCAGTGACACTAGTTACTACATCATTGTGTACCACTGTCAGTTATAGTTACTATACCATTGTGTACTAGCATCATTAATTGATAAACCATTTTGACTTTGGTAAGTTGGGTAACAATCATTACACAAATAAAGAACATCAGACTGTCAGGTCATGGCAGATATCCAAATGATGTCTATATGTTTAACATACCTGTTCTCTAAAGAATCAATATATTAAAATCATTGAATGATGATGTTGCTGTTTTAAAGGTTTAAATTTTTTTTCAGATGCCAGAGTTCATGAGCAGTATGACATTAGGTCGATACACCTGAGCTGTCACACTTGTACTTCACTAACTTCTGTGATCGTATTTCATCTTCTGTAAGGAATGAAAGTTGCCAGGCAATCACTCTGGATTACAGCATTACTTACCGATATTTGCTGCTAGACACAAGAAAATTTGTGTTTTTTTCTACTGCCTTTGTTGTTATAGAGTAGCAGTTGTAGGGAGGATTTTGTTTTCATTAACCATTGTGTCAAGCGTGTCATGTTTGATATTTGATCAAAAGTTGAAGCGAAATTTAACTGATAGACACACTTTTTTGAAAACCTACATAATTGTATTGGATTTAGAGTGTCCCTCCATTTGTCATTGGATGGAAGACCGTTAATCACCATACTGCCCATTTTCTACACCAATTCGAAGAAACATGGCATACATGCTAGTTTTGTGCTTATCATATAATCTTTATTTCAATGCCTTAATTTGTGTTATGTTTTGTCCATCTTCCCTGATATCATTGAAACTGATTGTACAAATGAACACTACCTGATGCCAATGTATGCAGTTGTTTATTTTTTTATTTTAATTATTCATTAGGAGTGATGTCTCTTTTTGTTTTCCTGTTTATTAATTTTGTCAGCATACTTTTACTTGCATTACAAGTTTGTAACCTTCCATATATATATATATATAAGTGGTTTTATGTTTTGCTTATTATTTTCCATTTTCCTCACTATGTATATGAGGCCAGAGTTAGTTAATCTCTGGTTACAGTTCCTGTTATATAGCTGTGTTCACAGTTGTATATGAGGCCAGAGTTAGTTAATCTCTTGTTACAGTTCCTGTAATATAGCTGTGTTCACAGTTGTATATGAGGCCAGAGTTAGTTAATCTCTGGTTACAGTTCCTGTTATATAGCTGTGTTCACAGTTGTAAATGAGGCCAGAGTTAGTTAATCTCTGGTTACAGTTCCTGTTATATAGCCGTGCTCACAGTTGTATATGAGGCCAGAGTTAGTTAATCTCTTGTTACAGTTCCTGTTATATAGCCGTGCTCACAGTTGTATATGAGGCCAGAGTTAGTTAATCTCTGGTTACAGTTCCTGTTATATAGCCGTGCTCACAGTTGTATATGAGGCCAGAGTTAGTTAATCTCTGGTTACAGTTCCTGTTATATAGCCGTGCTCACAGTTGTATATGAGGCCAGAGTTAGTTAATCTCTTGTTACAGTTCCTGTTATATAGCTGTGTTCACAGTTGTATATGAGGCCAGAGTTAGTTAATCTCTGGTTACAGTTCCTGTTATATAGCTGTGTTCACAGTTGTATATGAGGCCAGAGTTAGTTAATCTCTGGTTACAGTTCCTGTAATATAGCTGTGTTCACAGTTGTATATGAGGCCAGAGTTAGTTAATCTCTGGTTACAGTTCCTGTTATATAGCTGTGTTCACAGTTGTATATGAGGCCAGAGTTAGTTAATCTCTTGTTACAGTTCCTGTTATATAGCTGTGTTCACAGTTGTATATGAGGCCAGAGTTAGTTAATCTCTGGTTACAGTTCCTGTTATATAGCCGTGCTCACAGTTGTATATGAGGCCAGAGTTAGTTAATCTCTGGTTACAGTTCCTGTTATATAGCTGTGTTCACAGTTGTATATGAGGCCAGAGTTAGTTAATCTCTGGTTACAGTTCCTGTTATATAGCTGTGTTCACAGTTGTATATGAGGCCAGAGTTAGTTAATCTCTTGTTACAGTTCCTGTTATATAGCTGTGTTCACAGTTGTATATGAGGCCAGAGTTAGTTAATCTCTGGTTACAGTTCCTGTTATATAGCCGTGCTCACAGTGGTAAAGATCTGCAGTACCAGGTTTGTTAGATATGCTGCATCAATGATAAAAGTGATGAAGTTTACATTCTTGTTTTCTTTGTTATATTTTAATAAGTACAATGTACTACTATACATGCTATGTGTTTTAACTTCTACATGTATGTTAAGATTTACTAGGTGAAGTAAAAAGAACAAAAGACATTCAAGCCTTGATTTCTTTTTTGGATATGACTTTTCTGGAGAATTCTGTGTCAAAAATGTATCTCTGTACTTAATGCAACAACAAGCATGCTTATACAACAAACAATAAGGTTACCTCTAGAGATTGACAAAGAAAAATTAATTGATATATAGTTTAGTATATCAAACATACAACAGTTCAACTGTAGTGGGACCAATCAGTAATTGTACAAAAAATAGGCCCAAACAGGAAGGAACAGCAAGGCACCCAATCTGAAACTTCTGCACTGAAGTACAGCATGAGACACACAAGCCCCTACTGCTTGAGATTTCAAAAAAGCTGGAAATAATTGAAAGCATGAACAATAAAGTAAACATCCCAATAAACATCCAGTGTACAGAAGAACTACTGTGTTGGACTCCTTTGTACTCATTACCTGGACTTTATTGAGACCTGTATACTATTGGATCCACGGTTAGTTCATCAGGATTTCCACTGAAATTTACTCTTAGGGATGTTGTGCCTCCATTCCTGTATTGAATGAAAAAATTATGTTTAAACTATGTTACTACAAAATGTACACACAGGAAAATAACTTTGCATAAAAAACATGATTACATGGTACAACATGGCAGTTAGCATGAAACACACAAGTGTGGCCAAAATACATTCACTACTATGAAATCACGGCACAAACAACACTTCCAAAATCATGCTGAACAAGATAAATTATTCCTGTTACACTCAAATAACTGCAGGAATATTCTATCATCTTTCTCTGAGGTATTCCAAATCCTTTCGTTTAGGCACACCACACCCACTCACTTAGGCACAACACACTCACTCACTGAGGTATTTTGCAAACACTCTTGAGGTATTCCACACCCCTTCACCGAGGTATTCATCCTGTCATTGAAGAGTTCAAAACCTATTCACTGAAATATATCATATCCACTCTTGAGGTACACCATACCCACTAGGTACACCACACCCACTCACTTAGGCACACCACACCCACTCATGTAGGCACACCACACCCACTCACTTAGGCACACCGCAACCACTCCCGTAGGCACACTACACCCACTCACGTAGGCACACCACACACACTCACGTAGGCACACCACACACACTCGTAGGCACACCACACCCACTCACTTAGGCACACCACACCCACTCACATAGGCACACCACACCCACTCACTTAGGCACACCACACTCACTCACTTAATCACACCGCAACCACTCCCGTAGGCACACCACACCCACTCACTTGGGCACACCTCAACCACTCACGTAGGCACACCACACCCACTCACTTAGGCACACCGCAACCACTACCGTAGGCACACCACACCCACTCACTTAGGCACACCACACCCACTACCGTCGGCACACCACACCCACTCACTTAGGCACACCACACCCACTCACATAGGCACACCACAACCACTCATTTAGGCATACCACAACCACTCACTTAGGCACACCACACCCACTCACTTAGGCACACCACACCCACTCACATAGGCACACCGCAACCACTCCCGTAGGCACACCACACCCACTCACTTAGGCACACCACAACCACTCCCGTAGGCACACCACACCAACTCACTTAGGCACACCGCAATCACTCCCGTAGGCACACCACACCCACTTACTTAGGCACACCGCAATCACTCCCGTTGGCACACCACACCCACTCACTTAGGCACACCACACCCACTCACTTAGGCACACCGCAACCACTCCCGTAGGCACACCACACCCACCCACTTTGGCACACCACATCCACTTACTTAGGCACACCACACCCACTCACTTAGGCACAACACACCCACTCCCGTAGGCACACCGCAACCACTCATGTAGGCACACCACACCCACTCACATAGGCACACCACACCCACTCACTGAGGTATTGGTTGCCTTTTGGACATTGATACTGCTATGATGAAACTGACTTGCTTTGTTTAGCAATGGTAACCTTTCTTGGTAGTCAAAGCATATATAGAGACAAGGCCATTGAACACTTATTAGCCTCTAGACTACCTCAACATTTCTTGGATCACATATTTACAAAGTGGTATTTAAGCCAACGTCAACAGATGTTTAGTTACTTCAATATTCGGAAACAAATATCACCATATAACTGAAAATAAAACAAGTGCAAATTATGAAATATAGAAAGTACGGGAAATAAGACCGGAAGTTTCTATTTGGCAAGTGTCCATTTATCATCAACTTCTCAAAATTGAGGACCAGGTGACTGATTTCCACACGGTACATCAATCAACAAACACATTTAACTTGATGTCAAACAATGAAGAAAATAATATGGAAAGGAAATCATACTTCTCCACCATCATCATCATACATCTTTCAAAGCCTGCTGTTGTCGACATGTTTCCGGGTATTGGGAACAAGACCTAAAATTGATCGCGACATGTAAACATGTCAGGGTGGGGAAGAGGGATGTTACATAGAGGGATGGAAACTTTACGAGGAATGGAAACGTCACGCTTATCGTAGATCTTATTGACAGTATGACCGTTGGTAGTTACGACCTGTGGTCTGTTGGTTATAAGCGAAGTCAAAGTCAATGTATTTCTTTTTAATTAATGTGGGTCATACAAATTTGATTTTATATGCCCATTCTACCTTATTGTTAGATGTTGCATCTGTATTTAAAGGGACACGCATGAAAAATGCCAACTGTGAAAGAGTTACCTCCCTCTAATGCGCGTGCACTACACTTTTACAACGACTTAAATTCTTATGCCACATTAGAGAATTCAACTTGCATGATTGTCACAAAAATTATCTCAAAATCTGCCTAGCATCGTTAGTGATGGTTTCAAATGGGGAGAAGATCCTCTCAATAGTGTCATGTAACCGCTAATTCTGCTATCAAGCTTGATCAAGGATTCATTGGGCAACCCTTCGGTCAATCAGGTTATAAAGCAAGCGTATTTCTTTTCAACGAGAAATGATGGCGAACCAACCATGTGTTGGTTCGTATCCCTGGCTACGATTGTAAAGAGAGCTAGAGAGAAACATGTTGGACCAGAGAAGTAAATGTCACCGCGATACCAACGGTTACTTGTTAGCACCTGGTTGTCGGTGATTACGACGTGTTAACACATCCAGCTTCCTCCCCCGGTTTGGCTCTAGCGATAAAACACTGACAAGTCTCTAGTCTTGAACGAGACACTAGCCGATGCCGCGTGCTGTACGTAAGACACACGCGACATTTATACCTCACGAGTATAAGGACTTGACATGAAGTTAATTTGTCAGGACTCTAGATTTGTAGGGCAGGTACACTGTGCACAAGACGACAGTGATTGGTTTTAATTAAAATCTATAGGTTTTTTTAAGATTAGTTATGTTTTTTAGACGGGGGAGGGGTTGGGGTGTTGTTTCATCGAAAACCGGTAAAATTGCATGTACCTTCATGTGAAAATATATCGAGCGTGGTATTGCATCGTGTCGTATTAATATCATATAAAATATTCATAAGATAGAAGGAATAGTACCACGTGGTGTGTATAAAATATCTTTTGTATTTTTTTTAAACCTTTAGCAAAATGAGATATGTTTTTTATAACAAAGAGGTCGGTCGTCAGTTCGTTGATGTGATCTGTGAACAACAAAACAAAGCTCTGTTTTAACGGTATGGTGTAGTTATAACGTCTGGTGCTATTGAACAGTGTGAATAACAATTGACGAGTTTGAACCATAACATACCTCTGTTTTAACGGTATAGTGTAGTTATAACGTCTGGTGCTATTGAACAGTGTGAATAACAATTGATGCTTAAAATTACAGCGAGCACGCATACATGTAAGTCACTCTCATGACCACATCTTAAACGTCGTGAAGTGCTATTGCAACTAGCTATTTATGTAAAACTGCGTGGTTAAAGAAGATGAAATTCTAGAAAATAGACATCAGAAGAGCAGTACATCAAGCATTTTGTGAGACTGTGGGAATTGAATAAAAGCAAGGTTTAGAGAGAAGGCAACAACAACTGGCGGTAACAGTGCGTGTCTCGCTGCAATCCGTTCTCATTTGAAATGTTTTAAAACCCTTGTGTATCCGTTTAAAAGCTTACCTTTGTACCCGCGCTATCGCCAAAACCATCCTGAGTTGCCCCCGCCCCCCATTCCATGTCCCCCATGCCATATTATTGTCTCTTTGAGTGGCCTTAACACGATAGTACAAGTGACATCGGGTCGTATAACAAAGTGAAATGTACAGTTAATTGTTTCACTCTAAAATATTGAGTATGTAATAACACTTTAATAATCCGTTTGCTTACTACCATAATCAAAAGTCGTGCACGCGTGACAAATTTGTGTCCGACTGTGATAATGAACACGCGAGAAAAATCGATACCTAAGTTGTGAAATTGTCTATAGAATAGGTGTAAGTGTCGCTGAATGTCACTTTCTAAAATACTGATTGAGAGCTGTAGGCAAGATAGCAACAGTCGGTCCAACGTGATCCCGAGCATTGCTGCCGCAGCGGGAATACAGCTTCAGCTACTGAAGCCGTCTGTCAAGGCCAAGATACGCTCAACATGTGCATGTGCATGTGACTTAATAAACTTGCTGGAAGCGACTAGTCTGTCACATCCCAGCGACGTTTCAGTACCGACTAGTTTGTAACACCCGCAACGTAAAGATAGCTTATTACACAACCGACATCTTCACTGCTGTTTTCTCTGTATTTAGGTAATCGAAAATCTATTACCATTTCTGAAACTTCGGAAGTGCGTACATTAATCAGAACATTCTTCGAACGCAAGGCGGCATTTCTATCGAATCTCACCATTGTGTCTCTGAGTGTTTGATATCCACGGAGGTTTAACAACCCTCCAAAATGCCTTCCCCTACGGACTCCGCAGTAGGACTGTTTTCCGCGTGGGAATTCCAGTGTGTCGGAGTTGCCTACTTCATTTTTGGTAAGTAGACTTCTATTTAGAATTCCTATTATGGGTATGTAGATGTAATTACTAAATCGTTGCTTATATCACATAGATTAACTACCATTAGTTAACTTATTTTACTGAGAGTTACAATCATGTACGATTCAGTGAATATCTTGTCACAGTCTGTCAAATTCAAGAGTGAAGGAAACAAATATGAGAACCATTTTATAAGTATATAGTTATTAGAGTAGAAAGTGTCTAAATGTTGTCAATAGTTATTAGATTTGAAAGTGTCTAGATTTTGTCTATATCTGTCAGATTTGAAAGTGTCTAGATTTGTCTATAGTTATCAGAGTTGAAAGTGTCTTGATTTTGTCTATAGTTATTGGGGTTGAAAATGTCTAGATGTTTTCTATAGTTATTGAAGTTGAAAGTGTCTAGATTTTGTCTATAGTTATCAGAGTTTAAAGTGTCTAGATTTTGTCTATCGTTATTGGAGTTGAAAATGTCTAGATTTTGTCTATAGTTATTGGAGTTGAAAGTGTCTAGATTTTGTCTATAGTTATTGGAGGTGAAAGTGTCTAGGTGTTGTCTATAGTTATCAGAGTTGAAAGTGTCTAGGTGTTGTCTATAGTTATCAGAGTTGAAAGTGTCTATATGTAGTCTATAGTTATCAGAGTTGAAAGTGTCTAGATTTTGTCTATAGTTATTGGAGTTGAAAGTGTCTAGATTTTGTCTATAGTTATTAGAGTTACTAGATTTTGTCTATAGTTAGAACTGAAAGTGTCTAGATTTTGTCTATAGTTATTGGAGTTGAAAGTGTCTAGATTTTGTCTATAGTTATTAGAGTTACTAGATTTTGTCTATAGTTAGAACTGAAAGTGTCTAGATTTTGTCTATAGTTAACAGAGTTGAAAGTGTCTAGATTTTGTATAGTTATCAGAGTAGAAAGTGTCTAGATTTTGTCTATAGTTATCAGAGTAGAAAGTGTCTAGATTTTGTCTATAGTTAACAGAGTTGAAAGTGTCTAGATTTTGTATAGTTATCAGAGTAGAAAGTGTCTAGATTTTGTCTATAGTTATTAGAGTTGCTAGATTTTGTCTATAGTTAGAACTGAAAGTGTCTAGATTTTGTCTATAGTTATTAGAGTTGAAAGTGTCTAGATTTTGTCTATAGTTATTGGAGTTGAAAGTGTCTAGATTTTGTCAATAGTAATTGGAGTTGTAGGTGTCTATATTTTCTCTATAGTTATCAGAGTAGAAAGTGTCTAGATTTTGTCTATAGTTATTGGAGTTGAAAGTGTCTAGATGTTGTCTATAGTTATTGGAGTTGAAAGTGTCTAGATGTTGTCTATAGTTATGGGAGTTGAAAGTGTCTAGATGTTGTCTATAGTTAAAACTGAAAGTGTCTAGATTTTGTCTATGGTTATTAGAGTTGAAAGTGTCTAGATTTTGTCTATATCTATCAGAGTTGAAAGTGTCTAGGTGTTGTCTATATCTATCAGAGCTGAAAAAGTGTCTAGGTGTTGTCTATATCTATCAGAGTTGAAAGTGTCTAGATTTTGTCTATAGTTATCAGAGTTGAAAGTGTCTAGATTTTGTCTATAGTTATTGGAGTTGAAAATTTGCAGATTTTGTCTATAGTTATTGGAGTTGAAAGTGTCTAGATGTTGTCTATAGTTATTGGAGTTGAAAGTGTCTAGATGTTGTCTATAGTTAAAACTGAAAGTGTCTAGATTTTGTCTATAGTTATTAGAGTTGCTAGATTTTGTCTATAGTTAGAACTGAAAGTGTCTAGATTTTGTCTATAGTTATTAGAGTTGAAAGTGTCTAGATTTTGTCTATAGTTAGAACTGAAAGTGTCTAGATTTTGTCTATAGTTATTAGAGTTGAAAGTGTCTAGATTTTGTCTATAGTTATTGGAGTTGAAAGTGTCTAGATTTTGTCAATAGTAATTGGAGTTGTAGGTGTCTATATTTTCTCTATAGTTATCAGAGTAGAAAGTGTCTAGATTTTGTCTATAGTTATTGGAGTTCAAAGTGTCTAGATGTTGTCTATAGTTATTGGAGTTGAAAGTGTCTAGATGTTGTCTATAGTTATGGGAGTTGAAAGTGTCTAGATGTTGTCTATAGTTAAAACTGAAAGTGTCTAGATTTTGTCTATGGTTATTAGAGTTGAAAGTGTCTAGATTTTGTCTATATCTATCAGAGTTGAAAGTGTCTAGGTGTTGTCTATATCTATCAGAGCTGAAAGTGTCTAGGTGTTGTCTATATCTATCAGAGTTGAAAGTGTCTAGATTTTGTCTATAGTTATCAGAGTTGAAAGTGTCTAGATTTTGTCTATAGTTATTGGAGTTGAAAATTTGCAGATTTTGTCTATAGTTATTAGAGTTGAAAGTGTCTAGATGTTGTCTATAGTTATTGGAGTTGAAAGTGTCTAGATGTTGTCTATAGTTAAAACTGAAAGTGTCTAGATTTTGTCTATGGTTATTATTATGGAGTTGAAAGTTCTAGATTTTGTCTAAGTTAGTGTAGATTTTTTTGTCTATAGTTAAAACTATTTTTGTTATGGGAGTTGAAAGTGTCTATGGTTATAGTTAAAACTGAAAGAGTTGAAAGTGTCTAGATTTTGTCTATATCTATCAGAGTTGAAAGTGTCTAGATTTTGTCTATATCTATCAGAGTTGAAAGTGTCTAGAATTTGTCTATGGTTATTAGAGTTGAAAGTGTCTAGATTTTGTCTATATCTATCAGAGTTGAAAGTGTCTAGATTTTGTCTATATCTATCAGAGTTGAAAGTGTCTAGATGTTGTCTATAGTTATCAGAGTTGAATGTGTCTAGATGTTGTCTATGATGGGTTTAAATATTCGATTGGTTTGTTAGGTATGGATGATTATTATGAAGTTTTTTATCTGATAATTGAAATGACAGATGATTGCATCGCTAAATGCTAATATCTGGCTGACCCGACAAAATCAGATGTCGACACTTTGACCTCTAGAAAACCAATACGAATACAGTTTGGCCAAGCCCCAGTAATATATATATATATACATTTAAACATGTATATAAACATTCATTTCAATTTTTTGACAGTAAAATTTTTAATCAACAATAGGTTTTTTATTTTGGGGCTCAGATGTACCGGTACACACCTTTCCTCAGAATGTGACACGATTGTTTTCTTCTGCGATCACATACACGTTAAGTGGCTGCAGTGTACGACGTACCGTGATTTTTATAAAACACTTTTGATATTTTAATCACCATCTTTCACGCAACAAAGTAGGATGGTTTTTGTCCCTTGTAAAAGGCCTTCGGCGTCCATCACCAGAACAGATTATCGAGACACCTTAATTTACACTACCGTTCTCGCTTTTTGTTACACCTTTGTACTTTGTATATTACTATCTAGAATCCATATACATATTTAAATTTGAAGCCTGTTGACCTCCAGAAGTATAGCGATACGTGTGGATACATAATCAACATGCATCCTTTAGATACCAATAGTTATTAACATGCATTCTTCAAGTAGCCAGTACACATGAACATGCATCCTCCAGTTTGTAATACACATGAACATGCATCCTCCAGTTTGTAATACACATGAACATGCATCCTCCAATTTGTAATACACATGAACATGCATCCTCCAATTTGTAATACACATGAACATGCATCCTCCAATTTGTAATACACATGAACATGCAGCCTTCAGTTTGTAATACACACGAACATGCATCCTCCAGTGTGTAATACACATGAACATGCAGTCTTCAATTTGTAATACACATGAACATGCATCCTCCAGTTTGTAATACACATGAACATGCAGCCTCAAGTTTGTAATACACATGAACATGCAGCCTTCAGTTTGTAATACACATGAACATGCATCATGCAGCCTTCAGTTTGTAATACACATGAACATGCATCCTCCAGTTTGTAATACACATGAACACGCAGCCTTCAGTTTGTAATACACACGAACATGCATCCTCCAGTGTGTAATACACATGAACATGCAGCCTTCAATTTGTAATACACATGAACATGCAGCCTCAAGTTTGTAATACACATGAACATGCATCCTCCAGTTTGTAATACACATGAACATGCAGCCTTCAGTTTGTAATACACATGAACATGCATCCTTCAGTTTGTAATACACATGAACATGCAGCCTCAAGTTTGTAATACACATGAACATGCAGCCTTCAGTTTGTAATACACATGAACATGCATCCTCCAGTTTGTAATACACATGAACATGCAGCCTTCAGTTTGTAATCCACATGAACATGCAGCCTTCAGTTTGTAATATACATGAACATGCAGCCTTCAGTTTGTAATCCACATGAACATGCAGCCTTCAGTTTGTAATACACATGAACATGCATCCTCCAGTTTGTAATACAAATGAACATGCATCATGCATCCTTCTGATAGCAAATAGTCATGAACATACATCCTTCAGAGAAAGTGTATCCTTCAGTTAACCAATAAACACCAATGTGCTATCTCGAATAAGCTTATACGCAACGTATGCATCTTCCAGTTTGCAAATACACTGCAAAATGCATTATCAGTAGGCCAATACACTTCAACAAGAATTCTCAAGTCGGCCAATATATACCTACATTCAGTATCAGTTACTCAATACACATCCACATGCATCTTTCATTTATTCAATACACATCCACACGCATCCTTCATTTACTCAAAACACATCAACACGCATCCTTCATTTACTCAATACACATTCACAAACACCCTTCATTTACTCAATACACATTCACAAACACCCTTCATTTACTCCATAAGCATCCACATCTATCCTTAATTTACTCAATACACATCCACAAGCATCCTTCATTTACTAAATACACATCCTCATGCATCCTTCATTTACTAAATACACATCCTCATGCATCTTTCATTTACTCAATACACATCCACATGCATCTTTCATTTACTCAATACACATCCACATGCATCCTTCATTAAACACATCCACAAGCATCTTTTAGT